GGGGAAATGCAGCTGAGAGCCAAAGGGAAATGGAATCATTCCACATCAGGAATGCAGCGTCGCATGCTGGCTGTTTCCTCTGGGCCGTGGCCCCGCTGGTTCCTGAGCTGTCGTGAGGGTTTGCCGGAGCATGAGGTCTCGTTGCCCACGTGCTGCGACAAAGCACAAAGCCCTGCATTGTTGCATATCTTTAAAGCACAGCATTCAGCACATCTGTGAGCCTCCGTTACACTGCAAACACAAGCTTGATATTAATGCATTTATTGCCAGGTTGCCATCGGTGGTCCCTGAAAACAATAACTCGCAGGCTCTGCTTCCAGAAATAACTCAATGAAGATGTGGATTTGTTGTATATGTTCTCCAAAAGTCCCACTCCACAAAGGTGTTAAACATCAAATGTGATTTTGTAACTTTACACTATATTTCACTTTTGGTGATGATAGATAAATTACTGGAAACTGGTTGCTGGAATAAATCTTGTAATGTTTGGAAACACTTTCTTAAGTGTTTAGATTCTTGTGCTATATGTATTCTGAGAGAAAAGGTCAGAATTGCAAGATATAGGTTCAGAATTGCGAAACAACCTCACAATTCAAGGAAAAATCAAAAATGCGAGATATAAACACAGTATTCTCACTTGCTCGCAAGTCCGAGTTTATATCTCAATTCTGACTTTTTTTTCAGAAACTGCTTTTATTTTTCACCAAAAGATAAAAAAGGTAATTGCGATTTTATTTATTTATTTTTTTAATCGCACAATCTTTTGACTTTTCTTGTCAGGATTAGGAGTTGACAAGTTAGCAAGTAAATTGCAAGTCGGAAATGCTAGAAAAAAGTATGAGACTCTAAAGTATAGAGTCTTCATGCATCAAGGTTTAACCTGCATTTTTGATCTTCCTTTCAGTTGGACCCTCTTCCTGAAGACGTGCTACAACAGAGGCCGAACCCCAACGCCATTCACTCCATGGAGAAAGTTCTGGAAGTCCACAGTGAGTGCACACAAAGCTTCACAGTTTATTCATTCACCGTTGACCTGATACATATTGTACACAACTGCTGCAGCAATTATTGTAGTATAGTCTATTTTAGATAAACGTACCCCTGAGCAACCTGTAAGAATTGTGATTGGCTGCTTACATGTCAATTATAAGGAGTCGTCTTCTTAAAGTAAGCAGTTTTTGGTGAGAATGTTCTGCAGTATAAAGCAGACTTTATGCTGTGTAGTCATAACTCTGGCATGCATGTGATGTCTTTACATGTTACTTGACGTCTCGCACTTGTAAATAAACTGCTTAGTCATGTTTAAGGCTGAGCTTTGACCGTGTTTTGTGCTTAGGTAAATACTGGCGCTCGCTGCAGAGATCTGCCTCGACTCTGGGATACTCACTGCTGGAGGCTCAGAGATGTGAAACTGAAGAGGCAGAGACGGTGACCGCCATGGCCTCCCTGTCTGTGGCCAACAAGCACATGGGACAGAGGTGCAGTTATAGCTCTGTACGTACATACATATACATACATATATATATATATAAAATTAGGATTCTATTATACACTCTAAAAAATGCTGGGTTGTTTCAACCCAATTTTGGGTCAAATATGGATTAACCCAACTGTTGGGATAAATTTTGGTTAAATTTTTAAATGAACTTTTTAACCCAACAGTTGGGTTAGTCCAACAACCCAGCATTTTTTAGAGTGTAGTTCCATTTAGATTCTATTATATTCATTTTAGTTTTCATTAATATTTTGAATCTGTTTTTATATTTTCCATATTCATTTCATGTTTTTTTATTTTTTTGGTTAAAGTTTTAATCATTTTATTAGTTTTTGTCATTTTTAGTAGTTTTTGTTTTTCTTATATAGGACTACATAGTTTTTATTCATTTTTATTACTGATTTGGTTTTAGTTATTTTAGTACATAAAGTTAAACTGAAGTAAAGAGGTGAAATGTTGCGTTGGCATCTAGCTGAAATAAGTTTTTATAGTTCATTTTAGTTAACATTTATTATATTTCAAGTAATGTAGTTTTTGTTATGGTTTTAATTTCAGTTTCAGATAACTCTAATAATAACCCTGATATATACACTACCGCTCAAAAGTTTGGGATCAGTAAAACTTATAATGTTTTTTAAAGAAGTCTCTTATGCTCATCAAGGCTGCATTTATTTGATCAAAGTTAATATATTATAATTTTACATGAAAATTAGAGTTATAAAAATAAAAAATAAATATTACAAAGAAAATGACAAAACCGCAGCAGAAAATCAGTCAAAACCAGTTTTAAACTATTCAGACATGTCTCAACATTTCTAAACGTGAATGAAAATAAATAAAAACAATTCATATAATATTTAGTTTGACTTCCAAAATTATGTTAAGGTTAAGCACCTCCTTTCATTCACAATTTGCTCCAAAATGACTTACAAATGAGTCTCGGACTGTATTTTGTACCTTATTCCTGGAAAGTTGCATATATTTGCTCATAGCATGCCTCCTGAGTGTGTCTGTTTCTGTGACCCCGTGAGTATTTCTGGTTGTGTGATGGGACAGCAGTGTTCTAGAGGTGCAGGACAGGTGTGTGTATGAGCGGTGATAAGCAGACAGGACTCTCTGAATGTGCGGGGCAGACGTCCAGCTGCGTCAGGCTTCTGAGAGACACAGTCTGCCAGAGTCCTAATTGAAAACACTCAGGCAGCATTGAGCACAGATGCTTGAGGTTTCTGGACCTTCCTCACACACTCACACTCTTACACACATGTGTATTCATGTGCCCAGCACAGGTTCACACTCACATTATTTCCTGTTATTCCTATTAGGGGCCAAGTGCAGAAAGTGTGTTGACACCTATTATAAGTGTTGGTTTTCCTAGTTTAATATTCTGTGTTTTCTGGCTGGGCGTTTGGCACACTGGTTATGGAGGGTCTCAAAACTCTTTGTGCCAGTTTCGGAGTCTCTCAAACACTCTAGTGCCACCAGAAAACGTTTTAGCTTATAACTTTTTAAAATTATTTTTGTCTCTCCCTTGATCCTAAATTCCGTTATTCTGGTGGTCCTCCTGATTTCCTCCAAAATTCTCAAATAGAACGCTCAAGTTATGTATGACTCCGCCATGCACCATTTCTGTCTTTTACCATGAATTTGCATACTGTTTTTACTCGTACAAAACTCAAACTCAGATTTTAATGTCTTGCACCTTTCTCCAGAAACACCTGCAAATTTGACACCAAACAGGAAGTAATGCATTAATTTTGAAATGAACATGTACAGTGACCCTAAACTTTGTACATATTGAAAAATATAATGCCATTGGAATACAATATAGTCCAATTGCTGTGCCTATATAAAGTCAAAATGGGAAATCTGCGTTATTTTAATATATAATTAATATATTAGCACCACCTTACTGAAGGATCCCAAGTAAAGATTTTTTTAAACATTTTTAAATATATTTGTGTTTTTATTGTTAACTAAAACTATTAAAATATTAGTTTATATTGGATGAAAACTTATATGAAACTAAGAAATGTATGTTGCCTTAGCAGCTAACTGAAACAAAATAAGTTCAATTAGTTCAAAAAGTACTAAAATTACTAAAACTAAATTAAAAAAGAAAGAAAAATTGAAATATTTTTAAAAATATATAATAATATTAATAAAAAAGACAAAAAACATATCAAAATTGCTAAAACATTAAACTAATAATATCAAAATAAAAGCTAAAATTGTATATAAATAATACTAGAATACATGAACATGGGTGTTCCCAGAGGCAAGGAAATCTGGAAATATCTTGGAATTTTAAAATTGCAATTTCCAGTTCTAGAAAAAATATTAAAATAAGTCAAATCTTAAATTCATGAACATTATATAGTGAATATAAATTTCCATTGTACTTGAATGGAATGGTAGTTTTGTTAACTATTATAGTTAACAAAAAATGTAAAATTTAAATAAAACCATAGAACAAAAAAATTTTTGTTACTTTAATATAAAAAAAAACTATAATAGTTTATGATTCAAAATGCAAAATGAAACAATGATACAAAAATAACACTGGTAATTGTGCTTGCCTCCTAAAATATTCAATTATTGATTACATTCAACTTTATTTATTTAAAATCACAAATATCATGGAGTGAAAAGATGTGGAAACTTTTAATGTGTTTTGCTATGTCTCCCCACAGGACAGAGGAGGAGCCTATGGAAGAGGAACCTCCATTGTAGAAGGTCCGATCGACTGCCTTGGTGACCCTCTCGGCTCAGAGCCTCTTCAAGGCCTCTGACGTCGCTCTACTCTCTCTATCCGTTTCATTTTTTGTCCCACGATGTGCGCGCTTTGAGCACGGGATCTGAAACGGCCTGAAGAAATCTCTGTGACACCCAGAGCGCGACAAACGTCTCAGCTGTGTTAGTTTGTCTCTGTCCGTGGCAGAACGTCCAGGACTGTTAAACCTGGTCTGTCCGCAGGGACGCTTAACTTTTGAGCAGGACATAGACTCACGTTTCATTGTTAGATGTGAGAGCTGGTGCTTTCGACATGAACTTTTTCATTATTTTCCAGAGCCACTATATGACTGATTTCGGCTGTTACGGCCTACGTTTTTTTATTTGTCGTCTCTCTGTTCGTTTGTCTGTCTTTCTTTTATTCTTGGAGAAAAAATTGACTCGTTCCATTCGCAATTCGAGTTACTGCTTCACGAGGGTGGACGATGTGATCGGGAGAGCGATCGAAGGATTCTGGGAAGCCCGACGGAGAGTCGACAATGCGAGTTTGTGCCTTTTTCAAAAGATGGATCCAGAAGAACATTGCCTTAATAGTTACAGGAGGGAAGACGTTTCGCCGTCTCTTTATTTCTTGACATGCGACGGTCAAAGGCTGGCCTGAAGAATCGAGAAACCCTCAGCATGTTTACCAGGAACTCCCTGCAGATATCATGTTTCACACGCATTATGACCTGTTTTCTGTTCCTTCATTTTTACTGGGCTTGTGTTGGACGTTACATGACTCTAAGTGTCACTGACGAACAAACTTTAAGGTAGTTGCCAGCTATCCAAGGGCAAAACATTCGATTGAATTCTCCAGCGCTTTAGACGGCAAGCCAATGTAGCGACTCGTTTCAACTCTTAATGACCAAATACGCACCTCCTCCTTCTCCGAAAAGTTGGTCAGCATGCAGCTTTCCATCTGCCAAATCGTAGTTTAACAGCGCCGACAAGCATGAGTTTGCTGCGAGCATATAGGATAGGGCTGCGATGACCTCGCGTCATACGATTTGTAGTTCGAGACAAACTTTCTATTTTTCCTTCTCACGACATGTTGTACTTTTATATAGCTATGAATGTCTAGTATTCCGGTTACTTTACAGTTAATCAAAGGGCACTAGCGTATCACTACTATTATTCTACTCGGCAGACAGTCAATTTTATTGACACCTTCGAAACAAGCGGAAAAGGGCTGGTTAACGATTTTAAATGTACCACTGAGCCTTCAGACGTGCCACCTGGTGAGATTTAGCGCTGGTTTCCTGCCGACGGGTCTGAGCGAGGAGGGTTATGGGCCTTTCGCTAGGGGCGGGTGCTACCGAACATGTGCCCGTCACATGACACAATCCAGGACGTAGCGGGACCACCAGCTTCCACTCAGAAAACAATCGTAAAACGCCTCTGAGACGACTGTGATACTCAGACAATCTGCATGGGACATTGACGTAGTTTCGGAGCCGCGGCGGCGTTTCGAAGCGGCACATAGAACTGTATATATACGCAATTATGCATGCTGACAGTAGATCATTTGACTTGACTTTGATTGTACATTTAACTTTTCGATTCTGGACTGATGAAGAGGCGATAATTTGTTTGACAGCCCCTGACTCGTGTTTAGCCTCTCGGCAACTACCTTTGGCATTCTTTTTCTGTGTGTCATGTTCAATATGAGACGCATTAAGGTGGGAGATTTGACTAACCGTTGCCATTGTTCCTTGACTTCATTTTTATATATGCCTTTCACGTATGACTACTCCACTTTGGGTTGGTGCCCGTTATTTTCTTGTTCGTTTTACTTGCTCGTTTGTCCTGTTTTTTTTTTTGTTGTTGTTTTGTTTGTTTTTTTGTACTTTTTGGATTATTTTCTTGTTCATTTGTCAGTCTTTATGTAGTAGTTATTTTCGTGTTTTAGAGAGTAACAAGCCTTTTTTAATTGGTTTTTATCTTGTTTTTTTTGTATGAGGTGGGAGGGAGATGCTTTTACTTTGTATAATGATTCCGACAATTGTGTATTTACTACGTTCTGTTCATAGTAGATTTATATTACAAAGATCTATAGATATATTATATATTATAAAGATTGCAGACTCGAATAAGAGTGACTAACCGCATTGTTCCTTGACTTCATTTTTATATATGCCTTTCACGTATGGCTACTCCACTTTGGGTTGGTGCCCGTTATTTTCTTGTTCGTTTTACTTGCTCGTTTGTCCTGTTTTTTTTTTTGTTGTTGTTTTGTTTGTTTTTTTGTACTTTTTGGATTATTTTCTTGTTCATTTGTCAGTCTTTATGTAGTAGTTATTTTCGTGTTTTAGAGAGTAACAAGCCTTTTTTAATTGGTTTTTATCTTGTTTTTTTTGTATGAGGTGGGAGGGAGATGCTTTTACTTTGTATAATGATTCCGACAATTGTGTATTTACTACGTTCTGTTCATAGTAGATTTATATTACAAAGATCTATAGATATATTATATATTATAAAGATTGCAGACTCGAATAACAGAACTAGTATTGCAAAGTGATATATTTCAGTATGTCTCTGGCTTCGGCCGTCGCTGGTTCCACTGAAGGCACTGTTTATTGGTTTCATGCATTCGCAGTAACAAAGCAAAACAGGATCAGCCAATGATGTGAGTTTGGGGGTGTGGCTGTCTGTTTGTTCGACCAATGGCAGACATGGGAGTTTCCAAAATAAGTGTTTGAAAATAATCATTATTTGGAGGTGCAGAAATTATACACACTTAAAAAAAAAATGGTGTAGAAACAATCATCTCTCAGAAATTGCTAGTAAATTTCACAAATAATTACAAAGTAACACGTAACACGTTAAATGAAATTTTGAAGTAGAAAAACTGAAATAGTTTTTTCTTGTAAAACATGCATTAAATATGAAATAATAAAATGATTTAAATCTAAAAATGTTTATGAGAATGAACAAAAAACTGAAAAGTAAAACGTCTTTTTAAATTATGGTGCTCAATTATCATGAAAATAATTTCACAATGCAAGAAATCCCAGAAATAAGCTTCAGTTTCTTTATGCCAAATATAATTTCTTATTTACCTCCTTTTGATTTTGGGGTGAAATGCAACCTGGACGTGATTTTGTGAGATTGTTAGCGTTTCATTTTGCGGTAACGATATCAGCGATGGTTCTCTGGGTTTTTTCTGTTTTGTAAAATCTTGTTACTCTTATCAAGCACGATCTATTTTGGGCATTTTTGCAGTATCATATCCAGACCAAGCCCATCAACTCTCATCTGAATTACTTTCAAGAATGAAGTGCGAAGGCTGACACTGATTTGAAAGTGTCCCGGAAATGTAAAGCGACATTCCCAAAGAGTCTCATAATAGTAATACTCAACCGGACCATCACTACAAACCACTCTGCAATAATACTAACGGCAGCCTATCAATACAGTCTTGTCAAAGGGACACTTCAATCCAGTTCATCCGTTTTGTATTAAAAAAAACTG